TCTTGTATAGTAAAAAAAAAAGTGTATTATGCATCACCTCTATTAATAAATAATATTATAAAAATTATTTGTCACACCGGCTACCATGCATATTTGTCACTGGCCATCATAGAACTAAAATGCATCAAGAACGTAACCCGATTAAGGGTACATTTGTAGATCTATCAAAAATGTAACCGCAGGCCTATCAATTTTGAATCTTTTGCCCCAAAATTACATGTGTAAATTTGGCCGAATAGTGGGATCACATGACACAGATCAGTGATCGCGAGAACTTTATCAGATTTAATCCCAAGCTAATATTATCGTTATTGTTATATTATACGTAGCAAAACTTAGTACGTCGGTTGGGCAAGTCCGTAAGCTCGGGTTACATAAAATGGTAAAATTTTTTGGACATCTACTAAGTTTAAGCGCGACTATGTCACTTATCCTAATTTTATTAAAATATCGCTTTATTTTGGTGTAAAAGCTCACAACATAGCCTTAAAGTTTGGCCACTATTATTAAGTGCTTGCGGGTTTAAGGTGTCCCGTGCCGTATATTCCAGCTTCAGGCGCGAAAATATTACGATCCTCGTAAGGTCTCTAAAGTACATTTTAGAAATTGCACACGTTATATTGGTTAGTTTTACTGATTTAATAGAATGAAGTTGTTCGCGAGTATTATATGCTAAAAAATACAAAATATATTTTACAATAAGAATATAACTAAAGATTATTATACACAAATTCTCGAAAGTGTTTTTGAATAAATAAGTTATTTATGTTGGAATTATTTGCAATGCGCTTAATCATCATTGTCAGGATTCATAACACGCAACATTGTTTTAGGGACAATTATCATGTTGGTTGTTTGAATGTCAATTTCGCGCGTACTATCGTCAAACAATTCGGAATAAGTTTTTTCATGGGTAGCATCTGAGTCACTATTTGCCGAAAGGTGTGTTTCATTAGTAGTTGTGGCATATGAATTACGATATTTATTTGACATCGGAGGTTGAAGTCGAGGATTTAGGTTTTGTGGATGTGGAACCAAATAAGCTGATGCATAAAAATCATCACGGGGCTTACGAAGAAACAACCAAACTATGATACAGCCAATCGCTATAATAACAAGAAATCCACCAATAACAGAGGAAACTATTATTGTTGTTTTATTTGAGTTGTCTCCTGCTACACCAGGTGATCCTGTTGAATTTGGTAATTTATTAGAGGGTGTCGTATCCGTATATTCCAGTTTGTTGGGTACATATGTGTCAGTCCAAGTGAAGGTGGTTGTGTCTGGGATTTAGTCATACAAAGTTAACGAATCATTACAAATAGAATTAATATACGGATAAAAAAAAGTAAATTATTACCAAGAATATATATATTAGAATCAGCTGTTTCATTTGCCATATATCCTAATGAATAAATTAATATAAGTAAATTGAATTTGTAACGCAATATCAAGCCAAACCAAGACAGACATACCAAACGCGATTATCATGTTAGTCCCTACCATCGTGGCAGTGTGTGAATACCTTCCTGGAGGTATGGCTCCATTTACAGAAACGGGAATCCAAGATATAGGATCTCGTGTTGTATCTAGGACCGCAATATCTGAAAACAAGCTAGTAAAAGTTACATCCACGCCACCATGAATGATAACTTTACTATCTTTTGCTGTAAAATTAATAAAATTAATAAAAGTGTGACACTTAGGTTTAATAGTTTCAAAATATAGTAAGTCAATTACTTCCTACGGCGGCATGGTCTCTACGCGGTGATGGCAAATTTCCGCCAGCTGTCTAATTTAAGATAAAAAACATATGAATATCCACACGAATAAATCTACAAAATTAAATAACAATAAAAAATTGGATACCTTCAAATCCCATTTCCCATTAGTAGTATCATATATATATATATTGGAAGTATCAACCATACTACTGCCAGAAAACCCACCAATGACATACATTTTACCATCCGCAAGTAGTGTAGACGTATGATGGTATCTTGGAGATGGAGTATATGTCTGTGGACTTATGACGTTCCAAATGTTGATTCTGGTTTGTAATTGGTACAAGTCATTATACTGTACTTGCGCTGATACGACAATACTGCTAGAGTCCGGGATGCCGCCAAAAAAAAAAACCGATGCATCTTCTAGCCTTGTCACAGCAGTATGTTCTCTCCGCCGTGATGATGGAGTTACATTTGGAATGCTCCAGTTTTGTGTAATTGTATCAAAATAAAATAATGAATTGGGAGGAGGTGGCGTTTCACCGGATTCACCACCATACACGACTAAGAGTTCATTCTGAGAACCACCCACACTAACCGTGTGATATGCAACCTTGGGACCCGAAGGACCAATTACCCATGGAGGATTAGACCTCTGGAATCCATTAGAAATATCAAGAATAAGTAGCTGGCCTGTGTTTTGTGATGTATCATTTGATGATTTAAGACCCTCTTTGCCTCCGAAAATATATAAACTATACGATTTGTATAATTAAAATCAATATCGATATTGATTTATTAATAGGTTTAGAATATTAAATGTATGATCAATGATCCAACACCGGTAACTGCTGAGAGTTGATACATACTTTTTTTTTATTAACACCATGCCATGCCCCCAACGAGGCTCAGGAAGAGCGGCATAAACGCACCAAAAACTCGAACCAAACGTTAATGGTACGAGTATAGAATTAATACTTAATTGTAAGGATCCGGAAACTCTTTTCCTGAAAAGTTTGAAGCCCGGCATCAACTTTGAATATGTACGTTCTTTACACACGAAGAAACAAACTATTAAGAGTAACAATTAAAAGTATAGTTTGAAATTTCTCCAAGAATATTAGCTTAAATTTATTAAAAAATATAGCAGAGAATTTTCGGCACGAATATTTTCTTGAATTAGTTGGCTATTTACGCCAACTTGAGAATTACGGGGAAGGGGAAGACATAACCATATTCATATTTAGATTGTGCAGATCCTTTTTCGTGAGCAATCCTTAATTTAATAACCAAAGGTACACAAATTACGTATATTGATATATATATACACCCCTTTTTTTAATCCTTGAAACTTATTATTCATCGCTATACAATATGGTCTTTCGCATTTCACGAAAATACCATTTGTGTTCAGTTATGTTTCAAAATTTCATTTCTGAGATAAGACTAATATCAAACCGTTATTTATACTAAACTTTATAGTTACACGGGTGATTACATATATTATGTTTATTGACCAAATGAAGTAAAAAGATAAAAGACTTTAGCGGGACCTATCGCTATAGTAAGAACTTTTATTTTCTGTTCAAATTGAAAATCGTTCTAGAACGTTTCTAAAAAATGTATAGATTTTAATTGGTCTTGATAATCTTAAATTTTTGCATCTTTACGATATGATTAACAATATACATGCTTAGCATTAGAGCAGAAAACCTTTAGATTTATAATGGATTGATCAAATCCAGATTAATTTGATTTGATTTGATCAAATTCAAATCAGATCATATGTGTTTGGTTACATTTTTCATTTTATAAACTAAAAGGTATTTTGGCAATGATCGAGTTATTTGCATTTTGAAATTGTTGGTGAAACTGTAACTATCTAAAATCTGATTGGCTATTGCATTTAATAGCCAATTAGATTTTAGATGGTCACCAGTTTCGCCAGAACTTATGACGACTTTCATATGATTGGCACAGTTTAAAGTACTTATCAAAAAAAATAAAACTACAAAGAATAAATGAAAAAAAACTACATAGGAGGTAT